AGTTGCTACACTGTTGTATGTTGCCATGGCAACTCAATACACATTTTTAATTTACAAATCAGACTTTTCTCCAAACTTCAGCCTTGTACCAAATCTTTGGCCTGGCTGGTTGTTGCATGAATAATTAATACTGTAAAACTTGTAAAAGTGTTTCACATATGAACCTTCATAAATGTCTACCTTGCTTCTTGGGCGGCTCTTCTTCATCCCCAACTTCATCCTCAGTGACCTCTGACCCGGTAGTGTACTCCTCATCCTCTGACAGGAGGGACTGCTGCCTCTGGAAGAGCAAATGGATTCTCCACTGGAGTTCAGGCTAAACTATGTTTGGTATTAATTGATCTACAGTTTGATGAATCTGCTGATGAATGCATCACAAGATTTATTACAGGAAACGAAAGAGAAGTCCTACCAGCTGAAGACTCCAGTTCTTAAAAAGAAAAAACTGATTACAAAAAAACAAAAAACAAAGAAGACTGTAAGGATCCAAACAAAAACTAAAAATGTTCTACAGAGGGAAGCAGACCAAAACCAAAGACGCTTTAGAGACTTACGTTGGTTCCGTCCCCTCTCAGAGGTTTGAGCAAGGTCGGTTCTAACAAAGAGTCCCAGTCCTGGACCTGTTCTGCAGTGAACACACTCTCCTCAGTCCTGACACACAAACACAACACATTATTTAAACCTTTATAAGAAGGGCTCTCCGATGTTACAACCAGATGTTAGCTCTGAAAAAGACGGACCTGTTTCCAGGCGGGGCGTTGGACAAACACACAGCGTCTCTGTGCAGTAGCAAGTCGTTCAGGACTTGGGTCTGGACTGAAGTCACCTCATCACAGTTTTCTTCTTCAGGGACTCTAACTATGTGGTCTCGTACCTTACAGCCCTGAACACAAGACACACACATGAGCTGAAGCTGTTGAGGTTTTCCGTGTCTGGTTGTCTTCATTTTCAAAGCAATACTTTTAACACTAGATGTTTGTCTTTGATGGACTGGAGACCTGCCCAGGGTATCCCCCGCCTCTCACAGTGACTGCTGGACGTGGGCACCAGTGACCCCCACGACCCGGAAAAGAAGAAGCTGGTAAAGATAATGGATGACAGTGTTTGTGGTACGTCTGAGTGGGTGTGGTGGTGGCTCGAGCACCTGACATGCAGGTAACCACATGGGCAGGCCTTCCTTGGACCCAGGTCAGAGTCAAACAAACACAAGTGTTTCCTACTCTGCTTTAATGCTGTGCTACCAGCAGAGAAGCCACTGGTATGTGTTTTTCTCTTGCTTACTGTCCTACTTAAAGGTAACAGATTTATTCATGTAGGAAAAAAAATGATTATTTGATGAATTCGACAATGTGT